ATATAATTTTATCCTTTATTTATACAGGTAGTCTCACTGAGTCACAACTCATTTTCAAGAAAGACCTGTTTTGTTTTTGTTTTTTGTTTTTTTTTTTTGGGGGGGGGGCAGATGTGGGGGTTAAGGGCCTTGCTCAAGTGCCCAGAGATGGGCAGATGTGGGTGTTTCACCTTTTCCACCCACATTTTGATGTCAGTCTGGGGAGTTGAACCTGCGACTCTCTGATCACATGCCCATCTTCTCTAACCTCTATGCCACCATTCCCCCAAAGTAACTTAACATAAAATAATCACAGGCTGAAAGTTATTTGATTTTTTTTATTTATTTTTTAAACATCCTGCTGAAATGGAACTAAAAAAAGCAGCAAATGCTCGGTAGGATTAAAGCTTTGACGTGGACATTGTTGGATAAAAATATTCTTGCATTATCTATTTAAATAAAGGAGCTCACACACGATAAATAGAGATTTTTCAACCCAGTTTACTTGCGAGAGTTCACCATAGGCTTACACAGATGTTTCAAAGTAGCCTCGTCATGAGAATCTGCAACAGACGGTGTGCGAGAAGTGTTTTTATAATGCGCATTAACCTCATAGACGGTCACTGATGACCTCGGCCTCCCAGCTGTATCAAATATGTTCATTCTAAAAAAGAAAAATAACTCTCTGACCTCAAACACGAGGTTCAACATTACTTTAACATTAGCAGTGACAAACATCCATAAACTACCACAAAGAGCTGATTAAGTGGACCTCAGTGTTCTGGCTGGACAGTGTAAAATTTCTGTAACATTTCTGTGAGATGAGGTGGAGCCAAAGATTTCAGAGTCCTAAACAAGCTGAAATATTATAGAGAGAGAGGCAAGAAGTGCATCCGATTAACATGTGCATCTCTTTTTTTTTTGCATTTTTACTCTTGAATGACCAGAGATTTGGATATGATGTTTTTAGGTTTTCGTGGGGTTGTCTTTTCCCTATGAAGGACCAGCTCCTCTAGAGGCTTTGGCCAACGGCTGCATTTTCCTGAACCCCAGGTTAAAACCTCCACAGAGCAGTCTGAACTCCGAGTTCTTCAAAGGGAAGCCCAACATCCGAGAGGTCAGCGATGCAAAACAGTTTCTATTTCACATGTTTCTTTGGGAAATGTTTGAAAACACTGCGATCTTAAAGTTTCTCTGTTTTTAGCCAAATGTCTTTCATGATGCATGTATAATAAAAATGCATGGCGGTTTTTAAGGTTGATGTATTTCTGTAGGTGACCTCTCAGCACCCTTATGCTGAGGCGATAGGAGAGCCCTATGTGTGGATGGTGGACATGTACAACCAAACGGACGTGCAGAGAACTATCACTGCTATTCTGAATCACAGTGTACGTTTCTTAACGTGGTTTTTTACTCCTCTAAAAATGACAATATAGAGGAACCAAGTTTGAGTTAAATGCAGTTTCATTTTAAAAAATAGATGTTTTTATCTTCTATATTTACATTCCAGATTGAGCCCTACCTTCCGTATGAGTTCACCTGTGAAGGAATGCTGCAAAGAGTTAATGTACTGATAGAAAAACAGGTCTGATAAATCTGGATCAGCGAGTTTAGAGTAAGAAAGATGCACATTTTCTTATCTTTTTCCCGTTGTGTGTGTGTGTGTGTGTGTGCGCGTTTACTTAGGACTTGTGTTCAGCTGCACAGAGCTGGCCGCCTCTGAGCGTGCTCCAGGTGGTGACGGCAGAAGCAGGTGTTTCGTGTAAACGGGCGTGTCAGAGGGCGGGGCTGATCTGTGAACCTGCATTCTTCTCACACCTCAACAATGCTGAGAATCTTGCCAGGTAAGTGCTTGTTACTGTGGAAGTGTATGATCCAGTGACAGACTTTGTTTTACCTTTCAGATGTTTGTTTAAATTGTGGTTTAAAAGACATTGAATTGTAAAAGACCTGAAACTACTAAGGATATTATTCACAGTTTTGTCCCCATATAAAATAAATAAAGGTATCATAACCATATAAGTCTAACCAACAAAGTTGTCAGATCATCTGAACTTTTTTTTTTTGCTGTTGAAATGGTTCGTCCTTCATCCAAAGGACTTCTTCAGTCCAAGGAGCAGCACATGCACATAGTGGGCCAACCAGTTTGATGGAGTCCACCCAAGTGGTTCAAAACATCAAATGCTTGGACTGAGTTTGTTGGACAAGTTTTCTTGGACTGATGAAGGACAAACGTTTCAAAAAAAAAAAAAGCGTCCAGAGGACCTGATGACCTTTGATGGATTTTTTTTAACCTGGATTATTGAGCATGGACTTTGCTGTTTTGAACCACTTTGGCTATGGATGTCTGAGGAGTCGACGGGGGAGAAGGAGGACTCCAGACAGCATCTTATCACCATCAAACTGGTTGGCCCACTATGTGGCTGTGCTGCTTGTGAGACTGACTTTGTTGTGGCTCCTCAGATTGATGAAGTCCTTTGGATGAAGAACGAAATGTTTAAAAAATGAAACCATCTAGAGGACTGGACTTAATGGATCATTAAGCATGAACTTTGACAAACTAACTTTTTAGTGCAGCTGTTTTGTACAGACGAGCTTTTCTCACAGACGTAATTTCAAATAGTTTTCAGGTCTTGTTCTAAACCCAATTAGTGGCTGTTTGCTGCATTAACATTATGTATTAAAGTGACAAATATTTCCCCTCTTGTAACTTTTGTGATTTGATTGGAAGGCTTCAACTCATCTGCTGATCACTTATTCCTCTTTGTGTTTCTCCTTGTAGCCACGGTATAGAGTGTCAAACCTCAGAGACTTCCAGTGATTACATTGTGCTTCCTGCCTACAACAGTGGCAGTAAACGATGTCTGTTTCAGTCGGATCATCTGCTCTTCAGCTGTGTGAGATCGGACCCGTCTCTCACACGAATCTGCCCCTGCAGGGACTACATCAAGGACCAAATAGCCTTATGCAAGACATGTGTATAAACTGTGGACAAATGGACATTTTGTCTCATTGCAAGCACACTACGAAGCAAGTCTCTAATTCCAAGTGCAAGTCACTACGAAGTCTTCAGGGGGCTGGAACGATGAGTTTACAAACTGATTCCTCCTAAACGTTTCTAGCATTTATTTCCCTGTATGTCATAGAAGAGACTATTTTAGTGGCATATTCAGGGAATCAATTGTCACTATAATTTTCCTTCAATTTGCATATTTATTTAGTCTCTTTAGATTGAGATATTTTTCCACATTTCAAACTAAGGTTTCATTCAACTTTTTAAAAAGTTCCAAATATACTTAAAGGAAATTTGAACTGAAGCAGCAACTAAATCCACACATTTTCCACTCAGTTAATACTCTGTACACACAACATTCACTACAAATATTTCTTTAAGATAAAACCTCCTTCAGTGTTCATGTGTGCCTAATTTTTTTTCAAGGCAGTAGAATAAAGCAAACTTGAGAAAATGAAGCAAAGGCGTTAAATAAATGCAAGCTTGGATGATGATTATTATTAAAAAGTCTTATTTTTAAACGTATGAAGAAAATCAACTTGTAACCATCTCTTCAAGGGGGAAAAGATGTGAATCATTAGTGGCCAGACTTGCCTGTATATTAGATTAACCCAGACTTCTGAGATAAAAGTTGGTACTGAGCAAAACAAACAAAAAAAAACATAAATAAAAGAAGGGGAAAAAACAGAAAACCTAATAAATCAAGTCTGCTTTATGATCTTCCTTTCTGTTTGAGTTGATTTAAACATCCTCGATGTATTCTTGGATACAGCGGCAGTGGACAGCATCCTGTTCTCCAGCATTGTGTGGCATGGAGGCTGCACAGCTGCTGAAAGGAAAGCTTTGCAGAGAGTGCTGAAGGCTGCACAGAAGTCTGTTGGAGTCAGACACCCCACCATCACAGACATCTACACCTCCAGATGCAGGAAGAGAGCCACCTGCATCATGAAGGACCCCACTCACCCAGGACACACTTTTTGCCCTGCTCCCCTTAGGAAGGAGGTTGAGGAGCATTAAGTGTAGAATCACTACACTGAGGAACAGCTTCTAACCTGAAGCAGTTTGTCTCAAAAATTCCTAACCAGAAAAATCACTCTAATGCCACTTTGATGACACTTTATCTGTGCTGCTGATTAACCATGCTGCTGATTTCTTACCCATAAGCTGTTGTATTCATACCCATCTGCTCACAACAGGCTCATGTTCAGGCTGCTGTTTAATGCACCTTATATTTCTGTTGTTTAGCGTATATCTTAAATCCCTATATGCCGTTTCATTTTATAATTTGCTATTTTTGGATGTAACTGGGACCTTGAGTACACAATTTCGTTCCACCTCATGTACCACATGTGATGCGAATGACGGTCACCTTGAACCTTGGATGAAGCAAAGAGAAGTTTCTAATGACATCATTGGGAATAATATAAATGTCAATTTTGCTATAATTCACCAACATTTTGATTCCCATGCAAGACCTACAAAATTGTATTAAAATCTTGAGCCACTTCTCTTAATCACTGTCAAAGGCAAAGTGGAGGTGAGGAATTTGTCGAATTTGTCTTCGTGCATGCGTTCATATGTCATGTTAGCAAAATATAACATGAACCAGCGGGTGGAATGTAATGAAACTCAAAGCAATCATTAGATGTGCATCTGCAACAGATCAACCTTTTGGAGTTAATCCAGTTCAAGATGGCTGTCACAGGTAACTGACATTTGATAAAACCAAAATAGCTATAATCCCGTCATATGTTATTGATTTTAAGGTAAAAGATGATGGAGTCAAGTCATTCCCAACACAAACTCTGAATGTAGCATTTTGCACAAGTTCACATTATTTTCAAGGTTTGTCCAAAGTGCATACAGTTCCATTTCTCAGCATAAGGCATTAAACGAGTATGAAAGGTAGTGTGTGACGATTTTAATTGGCATTCTAAAAAATGGTTGTGTATTAAATAAAAGCCCACATCTTTCAAAATTCTGATTATACAGGAAAAAAAAAACTTTATTAACTGAATCAATAAAACTTCATTGACAAAGAGATATATTCCTGTTCTTTTACATAAATGTTTACACCATCTGGTTTAACACTGATGCTTTTATTGTACAATCTGTTAAGAGTAAATTAATTTATATATTTGTGTGTGCAGCTGTAACACATATGTAACACATCTGTAACCACTGTCACTGTAGTTTTTTTTTTAAATATATACAAGCCCATGCAAAGCCTATGGCAACAGAGAAGTGATTTGTATTGCTATCATGATGAATTTTGGTAAAAACAATGAATAAGTTATGAACACACCTTAAACAATGCATCATCAGGTCTCGTCAGAATGGCTGGCACTTAGTTTTGATTTTGGCGCAAGTCATTAAGCAGTAAAATTTAGCAAGTTTGCTGTTTTAATAAAATGATGTAAGAGATAAAACATCTTGTGTCTACTGATGAAAGTTTTCATGACTTTTGCATCTTTAAGGGATAGTTTAGCTCTTTTGAAAAGGCATTCTGTGGAAAGGTAATCAACGTCTTACCTGTTGTACATAGCTTTTTGAACCTCCATTTGGAGAAATAAAGTTTAACTTTGACAAATCAATGAGCTAACCGCCAATCCAAGTGGGGCCAAGAGCAAAGTGGATCGCTGCCATTTCAAAACAAGTCCAGTCTGAAAACCATTGTGGTGGTTCAAACCGCATTTTATAAATCATTACCTTATCAGTTTAGCATTTCACGATCATTCTGTCAGAGATGCATACATGTATAGTTCTGATGGAAGTGCTAAAGCTAGCTGACACTATTTGCTCTTGCTGGTAACGTGTTGGATGCAGATGGGTCCGTGTACCGTTCGTTCACTTGTTTTATTTTAATAGAGAAGGCTGGAGGTTGTTTTGTGTTAAAGGGAGACCGTGCAGATTTGTTGCAGTCTGTAAACTACACAAAACAATTGACTGGAACTGGATTTGAATCAGAATTTAAAATGTTGTTGCTTCTTTTATTTTATATAGCGCCCTGAGATGACTTTTTATTGTGAATTGGCACCATATGTGATATTTTATATATTCTCAATTTCCCTATGTGAGCATTAAAGTACCTACCAATATTAATAAACCAAACTGAACTAAATAAAAACATTTAATACAACCGTAATCCCCTTTGGTCCTGGCCTTTTTCAGACTGTTAGCTGATCAATTCAGACAGAATTCAACTTTATTTATACAATTTGATGTTGATTTTATAAACTTTCCACAGAACCCCTCTTTATAAAGGATATACATATCCCTTTAACATAACATTTCTCTTTTTTACAAGCTTTTTCTTAACGACTGAAAAGAAAAGACAGACATCTGTGGTTACGTGCAACTATGAGCTGGCAGCACTTTTTTTTTTTTTTTTTACACAATCCTGGCATTTCACTTGTGATCTGAGCATTACCGTATTTTTCGGACTATAAGGCGCACTTAACAGTCTTTAATTTTCTCTTAAATCGACAGTGAGTCTTATAATCAGGTGCGCCTTATGTATTAATTCTGGTTGTGCTTACTGACCTCGAACCGATTTTATGTGGTTATTGTGAATGAGTCGAACAAAGTTTCACTTATCTTACTGTTTTGTTTTTTTCACTTAATGCACCTTATAGTCTGAAAAATATGGTATTTGAAGCACCTTCAAAGACTGCTCTAATATCAATCAGCATGAAATCACACACACACAAAATATGCATCATGAAAACAACACAGCGTACAGAAGAAAAGAGGTAGAAAAGAGTTTGTTGCCTGCATCTAAATAGTTTTCAGCTCATCCAACAATCGTTTCGCCACGTGAGCAGAAGAGCTGCAGAAAAGCATGAAGTCAGTGGAACAGATGTACAGTGAGTTTGTTCTGTGCTTGGAGCGCTCTCACAACGTGTGGGAACACGGGGAAACAGTATGTGAAGATTGTCTTCGGTGCAGTTCAGAGGGGTGCGGTACAAATCAGTGTGCTGTTGGTGAGCTGAGCCGGTGTGAGCTGAGTCACACCTTCACTTTACAGTCGATCCATACTCTTCACACAATGGAGTCAAAGTTATTACTGATAATTTTACACTTTTGGGTGTAGAGTGGATGTAATCACAGCCACTGTCCAAGGCTTTTAACTGGGAGTATTAATTACATCTCTTGTTGGATAACATAATAACCACAGGATGGCGCTCATGCATTATGGACTGAGTTGTTCATAAGGAAGCTACTTGTTTTCACTTACAATAGATTTTTTTTTTATTTGTCACATCCAGCAAGTTTATTATCCATTTGTATGTAAGACTCCATCTGTGTTCTATTTACATGAATCTATAATTCCTTAAATATAAACATGTGTGTTGGTCATTTCTGTGCATTTTAATGGGGGGAAAAAATAGAAATTAAGACATTTGTTTTGATGATTTGATGATTGTCTAATATTATAGTTTCCTATAAGTTAAGCCTTGGGCAGAGCTGTCCAGTCACGCTGACACCTGATCAGAAACGCTCACCTACAGTGCAAAGACTTACAATAAAACTCGTCATTTCATTTCACCAAGAATCCACAGTAAATTGTAAAACATTTACAGCCTAGTCACACTACAGAGTAGATTTTTGTAACAATATGCACCATTAACAGTTTGTACTTTAACTAGACGCCGTCTACTCCCCAACAGTGTAATAAACATATGTACAGAGCTTGTGCTTTATTACATTCTGCTCGTTGCACATGATGATGGACAATTTAATAACGCAGGGGGGACATGCTGAAGGAAGCGGCAATAAACACAGTAGACGGAGAAAACATTGCATGTATGAACTTATTTTCCTACAAGCTGCTTAGTGTCCAAATTTATCTCAAGTTTCAGTTTTACAGTTAAAATATGGACAAACGAGGTGACTCTAACTAAAATAATTCAAGCAGTTACTACTCTCAGCTGGATTCAGTGCAAACATCTAATCAGAGATTAATGATCTGTATGAAGCATAGCAAATGGCAGGGGGGATCGTTCATAAATAAACACATAGAATACGGAAGTTGTTATTGCCAGGTGATATTTCTCCTTGTTATAAGTACAAAAACAAAATGGATTTGTGCTGTAAAAAAGAAAGACGTGTACACAACATGACATTTCAGTCCTACATAGCAGGTAAAATGTGTTTAGAAAACGCTTCTCTGTCATTGTTACATTATCTTTCAGTGGTGAAACTGCCTCCATGATGAATTGTTGGCAACAAATATCAAGGTACAATATCAGAACAGGGTTGTTTACTCTGTGCTTGGCCACGTCACGTAGACTACAGAAAGGTCCACAATAATGGAAAAATTAAAATAAACATAATGTGCACTTAAATTGGTCATGTTCACCATTTGATGGCAAATCGTTCGTTATGATTCTATCCTTTGACTTTTAGTTTTTAAAGTTCGGAAACTGTAAAAGGAAGAAACAAACGGATACCAACAAAAAAGGCCACCCTGATATTAAGAAACTCTCAACCAACCTCTTTATTTGTCCTCTAAATTATACAGTATTGATTATTAGTGACTTGATTAGTGAAAAAAGGTAGAGATTTAATGAAAAGCTCACAGCAAGATTATGACAGTGTAAAAAGAAGATTAAGTTAATGTGCTTTTAGCTGCTCCTTCATGTAGGGGTTACCACAGCGAGCAAATTCACACAGAACATTTACCAACTGTATCACACCGTATGCTCTTCCTGAATATATAATAAGGTATAGATTCCTGACACAATCTGGGCTTGAATCTGCAGCCTCAGGATTATGAGACTGAGACACTGACTACTTAGATGCCCCCCAAAATAATATTATTATATATAGGAATACATAATACAGCTCAATAATTACTGGGTACATACCTGATAATTACCTTACCTGGTAAGAATAGGATAACGAGTCACTTCATGATACAGCCCAGTCTCTGCAGGTGCCAGGTACATACCAAACACACGCCTTGAAAATATGTACCCAGTATCCACCCAGTTTAGAAAAAGTACATACTTGGTACTTACCAGCTAAATTCCTGGTATTTATTTTGGTGCATACTGAGCAAGAACTTAGTATGCAGGAACCAGGCTGCATTATAAAGTTACATACACTACATACCTGGTATATACTTGGTAAATACCAGGTACATACAGTACATAGCCAAAAAGCAATAAGTACTTAAAGGTTATGTACCTGATACTTACAGAGTATTTATCTGGTATGTATATATTCAGTATATGTATTGTCACCATAATCCATCCATCCATCCATCCATTTTCTTTACCCGTTTATTCCATTTTGGGTCACGGGGGTCGCTGGTGCCCATGTCCAGCAATCACTGTGCGAGGGGCGGGGTACACCCTGGACGGGTCGCAAGTCCATCACAGGGCCACATAGAGACAAACGAGACAAACAACCATTCATTGTCACCATAATATAAAGCTAATTTAAAATATAATTTAGTAACTTAAAATTATGAACACTGTTTATTTCAGGCCCAACTTTCAGCCTAGTGCGGCTGTGGAGCGCTGGTAGGGCAGCCGACTTGGGACTGGGAAGTCGCAGGTTTGATTTTTTTGCCATGCCCATAAGTTGTGGTGTCCTTGAGCTGGACACTTTATTTCTCAACTGCTCTCCGCATGCTTGAATAGCTTCCCACTGCTCAACTTGTATATAACTCATGTTTGACGGGTCAAATGCGGAGCACAAATTTCATCATCGTATGGCAACATCCAGTGATGACGATAAACATCACATCTCATTCACTTCTCATGTTACATTTAATTTCAGATGAACTTTGATTTTAAAGTGACTGATCAAACAGTCCACTTGTAAACAGCTTTTATTTCTGCCCGCCTGAGTTGCCCATTTGCCCATTTTTTTGGTTTTATATATCCTGCCTTACATTTACTTGGGGTGTGTTTTTTATTTAGGGTATAGACAAGATAAAATATTAATGGACAAAGAAGATGTATTTCTAACTGAGGTGTTTCCTTTGTAGGAGATGGTTTTCTGTAATGTCTCTCAGATGTGTGCGTGTATGAATTTATGAATGTATAGTAAGTACAGCATATGTGCACATATATTCACAAATTTGTATGGGTGTGTGTGTGTGTGCTGCTTGTGAATCTACAGGTTATGTAAAAGCATATGAAAGACTAGAGAGAAGAGGAGGAGGCACCCAGGTGTGTGTTTGGGTGTCTGTGTTTGACTAAAACTGCTCATCCGTTCAGGTTTTGGCTCTTTTACTCGAAGCGTTCGTAGTTCCTCGTCTGTCTGATCCGTGGTACCATGTCTTTCAGGAGCCTGGGGACACAAAAAGCAAGTTTTCACTAGAGAGTCAGAAAACGTGATAAAACTTTTGAATGTCAAATAAGCTAATTTAAAAGTAATATTTATAGGGTGCTTCTGTTGAATTATGTCTTACTTGACTCCATATGCCAAAATGATGAGTCCAATCAGAACCCCGATGGTTCCATCCAGGAACCAGACGTCAGGGTGCTGCTTGAAGACTTCAGCGCTGATGAGAATTGAGAATCCCATGATGGCTCCAACCAGAGAGTTAAAGCCTGAACATTAAATACAGTACTTCATTTAATTGTTAGATGATGATGTGATTCCTTGCGTTTTTATACTTGATTTTCTTTAATGAAATAAGTCATTGAACATTTACTCAAATAAACAGACCAGCCCGAATAAAAAGCAACACTCCTTAAAAGAATGCATATCACCCACCGCCTTGCACCACAAAACTTTTAATAAATATTTTGCTCAGTCTGTTAGCACTCACAGAATGTGATGGGGATGACTCTCAACTGCTTCCACACACAATTTTAGCTCCTTAGTTGTAAAACTGACTGAAAAAAAATATACAATTTTGTGTTTAATAATGTTGATTAAAATTTGTCCAATCATTCAGGAGATATTTTGTTAACAGACAGTAGATCACCCACAGGCACCCATCTATCCATTTTCTTTACCTGTTTCTTCCTTTTAGGGTTGCAGGGGTCACTGGTGCCCATATCCAGCAGTCAGTGTGCGAGAGGCGGGGGACACCCTGGACAGGTCTCCAGTCCATCACAGGGACACATAGAGACAAACAACCATTCACTCTCTCACTCAAACCTAGGGACAATTTAGAGTTACCAATCAGCCTAACATGCATGTTTTTGGTCTGTGCGAAGAAGCTGGAGCACCCAGAGAAAACCCATACATGCACGGAGAGAACATGCAAACCCCACCCAGAACAAACCCCGGCTGGGATATGAACCGGCGACCTTCTCGCTGAGAGGCAACAACTCTACCAACTGAGCCACCGTGCCACCCTACAGACATGGCAGCAGATGAAAAATGGTCTGTGTCATACGAAGACATTTGGGGGTTTTGTACAAAACACAATAAAATCTTTCATCACACTTCTTGGTATGACAGTTTTCTACTAAAAACTCATAACTGTGACAACTGGGCTTGAATGTGCAACTAAAATGTCTTCAAAGGTCACGCAACAAACACACATGGAATGATAATGCTGAAATCATTTTTCATATTTGCATCTTATGGTATTTAATATATGCAGGTTTTTGCTTTGCATGTTAAAGGAATTAATGTAACCTGCACATTTGCAAATACTTTTTTGTTTGTTTTCCTAAATATAATTACATCTGTCCCCATCCGAACACCAGCTCAGTGGGTTATTGTCTTGCCTGCAGTAAGCGTATAGTCTTGTGGGAAATAAATCCAAGCTCAGAGAACAGCAAGCTCAGGTTTATTGGATTGATGCCCTGTTTATGGACAGCGTGGCCTGGGGGACGGCAGTGTGTGCGCTATTCATTCATGGTGCACTTTTGTTCAACTTTGCATAATTTAGGAGATAATTACATGGGGGCTGAGATGGTGTAGAGGCAGGGCAGCCGACTCGGGACCCGAAAGTCCAAGGTTTGATCCCCAGTCATTGCATATCTTGTGGTGTCTCTGCGCAGGACACCCTATCACCAATTGCTCCCTGGGTGCTTTCAATAGCTGCCCACTGCTCCACCTGGGGGTGGATGGGTTAAATGCAAAGAGCCACTTTTGCCATTGTAAGGGAACATGCAATGATGATAACACATCATCATTATTATTATTATTATTATTACAATGTATCTCACTCTGCTCCAAATGACTGAGAAGTTCTCATGAATGAAATCATGAAATGAAGTACAGAACTTGACCAGAGGTTATCTAAATTAACACATATGAAGACAATATTTTTGACTTGGCAGACACCAAACTTTCATAGCCATCCATCCATCCATCCATCCATCCATCCATCCATCCATCCATCCATCCATCCATCCATCCATCCATCCATCCATCCATCCATTATCTTCTGCTCGTTCCGAAGTCGGGTCGCAGGGGCAGCAGCTTGAGCAGGAAGGCCCAGACATCTCTCTCCACAGCAAACACTTCCATCTCTTCTGGGAGGATTCCAAGGCGTTCCCAGGCCAACTGAGAGACACAGCCTCTCCAGCATGTCCTGGGTCATCCCCAGGGTCTCCTTCCAATCGGACATGTCCAAAGCACCTCCCGAGGGAGGTGCCCAGGGAGCATCCTTGGCAGATGCCTAGACTACCTCAACCGGCTCCTCTCGATGTGGAAGAAAAGCAGTTCTACTCCGAATCTCTCCTGATAACTGAAGTCCTCACCCTATGTCTGAGAGTCCAGCTACCCTGCAGAGGAAACTCATTTCAACCGCCTGTATCCACAATCTCATTTTTTCAGTCACTACCCAGAGCTCGTGACCATATGTGAGGGTAGGAACGTAGACCGACCAGTAAACAGAGAGCTTTGCCTTACAGCTCAGCTCCTTCTTCACCACAACGAACCAGTACGGAGTCCACAATACTGCAGACGCTGCACCAATCCGTCTGTCAATCTCACACTCCATTCTTCCCTCACTCGTGAACAAAACCCCGAGATACCTGAGCTCCTCCACTTGAGGCAGAACCTCCCCCTCGACCTTACTTCGCAAAAAGAATAATATGATTGCCTTTGTTGGTGTATGTGCTTGTTTGGTTTGTTTGTTAGCAAAATACCTAATAAATCAGTAAACAGATTTTTAAGAGACTTTCAGAAAGTAACCATTGAATGTACATCTACATGAATAAATATGGAGTCAACTTCAAGATGCGTTCAAGATTAATGTGAAAGTTAATTCATATTAGCCAAAACAAAATGGCAATAATTCAATCAGTTGTTCACATGTTGATCTGAAATTGAATGTGGTGGGAGCTGAGAGACTCATCACATCTAACAACATCACATAATGTTGACGTAAACCTTATATTCGAGGTTTGGCCAAAAGTTCTACCACTCCATCATTTCTCATGAGCTCAGTTTGAAACGCTGGTGTGGAAGGTGGCAGGTGATATGCATTCAAAGACCTTTGATTCTTATTGGTTGCACATCCTACCATCAGTGATGAGAGCCCGACTGGTCAGTTTTTTTCCCAGCATGAACTTGGCCACAGCCAGCACGGCACAAGTAAGCCCACTCACTATGGACACGCTGAAGAGGAAGTCATCCTGGGGACAAACAAACACATAAACACAGCAGGGTCAGAAAAAAAAACTCTCAAGAAGTTAGAGGAAAAGCAAATTAACAGATGTAAAAGTGGGCAGCAGCACCGTCAGCTCAGCTTTTGTTTGATCGAGCTTTAATAATCTGCGCATCGCTCGACTTCAGCTCAAGGTCAAACAGATGATGCCTTGAAGCGTTTTCATCCTAAGTCTCAGACAGACTCAGCAGAAACACAACTCGACCCCTGAGTGTCGATCTCTCAGATTTAATTGGCCTGCACCGAGGAAAGACAGACACGGAACAGAAGGAGGCAAAGAATAAACAAAGGAAACGTGACAGAGGAGGACACACACGGACTGTCTTTGTCAGACTGTGACTTTAAGCTCAAGACTTTTGGTCAAGGATCATTTACATATTATTAGACTTAATATACAAAGTACATCACTGGTATTTTTAAGCTTATCTAATTAATATTTGATATTATACCAGACCATAGATGAAATGCTGGACTTTAGGTTGATTGTAACAAATGAGTGAATGGTGGAAGAAGGGTGACACTCTCCTCACATTACTAAATATATTTTATTTTGCACTCATTAAAGCAGCAGGTCAGTTTACTGACCAACATCAACTTTATTAATGTATTCACCCTTTAATAATCAGAACTCATTCACTGAAATAGAATCCGTTAACTTCAGGGAATTACTGTATATACCAGTACAGGAGCAGATCAAATTTGTCTTTGAAGCTTTATTACAAAAATAATGAATCAAACTAAGAATCATCAACAATAATAAACAAACTGAACACAAATGATAAAGGATAATAATTTGGAGAATAACTTGTTTTAAAAGTAGTAAAGTACAGTAGTCCCTCGTTTATTGCTGGGGATCCGTACTCTATATATCTATATATATATATATATATATATATATATATATATATACATATAATAATAATAATAATTTATTTAGTTTGTACTGCACTTTACATTTTACAATCTCAAAGTGCTACAATATAAAATATCTAAAGAGAATAAAAGGTGGACTAAAAAATGTTAAAAGCTAAAAAAAATATATATATATATAAAGGTGTTTTAAATCCTTCCCATACACTTGCAATATTTTAAAGAATGTTTCTAAACTCTAAATGCTCTAAAAGAGCACAGAATATCATGATTTCAGCTCTCTGCCTCATCTGCTCTTTGCCACCTGCCAGCGCTCTTGGCCACGCCCACTTCTTCGCTCTGCACGGTGAACAGCTGATCAGCTGCAGCAGGAAGTTTATCCTGCAGTGTGAGCTGCACAAAGCTGCAGGAGGAAGCTTTTTCTGCTGCTCTGGGCTGCACAAATGTGCAGTGGGTGCTAAATAATTTAAAGTAATTTATTTTAAATAAAATTGCCATGCTGATCGTGCGACTCATCCATCAATCCACCAATTGTGTGTCATGTCCAATCTTATTTTGAAAAACCACGATAGAGCGATTCCATGATAAACGATCAGCGAAGTAGCGAGGGACTACTGTAATTACTAAAAGAACAATGAACAATCTAAATAATATACTATCAATCAAGAATTAATTATTTTATCTAAAGCAAAATCAATTCTTTGAGCAGGAAGTATTTTGGCTTTTATACGCACACAAATTTAGACAAAGTTCAATTATTTGATAAACAATTTATTTTGGAATTTGGCTGAGAGATGTTACTTAATGTGACCATATTAAGTTATTTATCACTACAAGCCAGGAAATGATTTAGCAAGTTGCATCAGCCGAAATGGCATAACCAGACCCAAAGTTGCATCATGTCACCTGGTCTCGGCTGCTTACAGGGTCAGTGTTGAGGCCACGAGTTCACTCGTGCTTCTGAGGATTTGCTGGCTCATTAGACCGGGATACACCATGAGGAGAGGACTAGCCAGGCACTGCCCAAGCTAGCTGAGAGTCACTGTGACTGCTTCAGGGGTCAGTGTCTCAGCTGATGAGACGCTGTGCAGGCAATCAGCAACCTTCAGCCGGCTTACACTTGCAGCCGAATATGTGAGTCTTGAAAAACGTTTTACCTTCTGTAGTTACTGGAACTCTACCTTACATATAACAATGAGATGGACATCAGAGGAACATCTCAGGACAGGGAAAAAGACGAAGTGAAAGTGTCACACAAAAGACCTTCGTTTGAACTCTCAACTCTCAAAAGAGTTTTGGGGATCTCTGAGATGTTATGACTCCCCTCTGACAAAAACAGATTTGGGTTTAAAACACTTACACACAGAACAGAACAGAAAAAATACGTAAAAAAAAAAAAAAACATTTCATAATTTCATTATGATGATTGCAAACATTATTAATGTTCGCACTTGTCTTAATCAAATAAAACAAACTTTCATTAATGATTTTTTTAAATTTTCTTAAAAGCATAAAAGAAAAGAGTAAACGTTAGTTGAAGTATGTTAGTTGGCTTGGTTTTATGTCCTATATTTTATCCTATGCTGCTGTAACCTTAGATTACTTGAGCACAAATTGACTTCATTTCATCAAATGAATAGTTACAAATGCATAAAAATGAATGTTGTATTTGTAATTATTCTTTCCTAACATGTGATTTTGTCTTTTTTGTCTTTCCTCCTAGAGAATAACCTGATGGCCTCTGTCCTGGACCTGTCATTGTGTGTTCGTTTCTCCTTCCTGTCCTCTTGGGCCCAGCCGGCAGATGGCCGCCTGTCCTGAGCCTGGTTCTGCTGGAAATGTATTCCTCATCAGGGAATTTTTCCTTTCCACTGTTGCCTCTGCGCTCGCTTAGGATGGGAGACTGCGACGAAGTGAAAACTCGACGCAGTCTTCTGGCTCCTTAGATAAATAATGTTATTAACTGATTTTTATGTATGTGAATGTTTCTGTTCCCTGAGACGACTTGTGTTGTGACTTGGCGCTATATAAATAAACTGAATTCAAATGAATTGAATCTTTACCAAACCTGTGGTGTTTTCAGAATCATCCTGGTGGCAGTCATATTTTCTTTTTGTTTTGCTCACTTTATATGTGCTGCATGTTTTCAGCTGGCTCGCTGCAGCATGAGGAGATCTCCATTCTCTTTAGGCACACATAAATCTTTCCTCATGCATAATTGAAGCAGGGAATATCTTATCAAGACCTTTTCTAAGAGTGAAACCAACTGGTGCGATGTTTGCATACAGTACATTTTAATTGTTGCATGACAGCTCCCTCCCTCTCCATCCTTAGAGTTAGAGGGGGCAGCTCTCTGCTCTGGATTTAATCAAGTACTAGACACAAACAGCCAGTCAGAGCTGTTCCAGGCGACGTGATGTGAATCGTGATGTCTGCTTTTCCTCACCCCCCTGTCCACTCGATCTGATTTTACCGCCCAAGTTGGCAGCATTTTACAGTATTCCCAACTGTATCGATTTTTCCCTCAGGTTGTTCAGCGTCTACGTGAGCTGTAGTCTCTCAGATCACCAAGCCACAGCAGAGTTTTTTTTCCTGAGCCCGTAAAGAAAACGAAAAAAAAACATCCTTGTCCTCATTCATTAGATGTTTTGCACGGTCGCAAATACGCCATCCATGCGAGACATAAGCATGCACGAGTGAAACGTAAAAACAGATCACGTCTGGTTCTTCGAATCACCTGTGACTGCTTTTTGATGAAGACCTCAGTGAGGAAGCCCAAAGGTGTAAACAGACTATGCATGATGATAAACAGCATCCGGGCAGACGGATGAAGTCGGCTTGTTGTAAAAAGAATAAAATGATGTAGACGAGAACAATAAAAAGTAGGCAGACTGACACATGGTTAAAAAAAACAAGTTCAGTGAGAAAAACTGAATAATTTAAAAAAAGATGACACTGCTCTATTATTTAAAATGTACTGCAGCTACTTTTTATTTTGCTACCACAAGCTTCCTGTCACAGACGTACATATATACATTTATAGATGTAAACAAAAACAGGTGTCTGAGAACAATTTGAACCAAACTGATTACACCCAAGTGACACGCTGATAATATTTCACCTCATTGTTTACAGTCTCTAGTTGTTTTGTTTTCTCTTCGTGTTGAGTATACCAAGATGTATTACAGTACTAGCACATATTTGCATGCTAGATGCTTAAAACTGGAGAGAAACCCACAAAGACAGACAGATGAGGTGAAGAAATGAGCGAGAAGCTGGCAGGGGGTGTCAAAAAGACAAATAGCTGTAATAGGATTTCACTGGTGTTAGGAAAATCCCCTGGGACCAAACACACACACACACACACACTCCATACACACATTATTATAATGGCAGAAAGGCAATGAACAGTCTGCAGAATAGCTGCAGCTTTTAACCAGCTCCTCCACTGACCTTCATCACTTGGTAATATCTCTTTATCATTTATGCTCTTGATTTTTTTTTTCTAAATATATTAATATATTTATGCCACATCTACCCAAATGTCATTGAAATGTACTCAGGACAAAATGATGTGTGATTTAAAAATTTAAAAATCTGAAAAATACTGAAGGCTATTTTGGTGGCATTCACCAATAGTTAAGCAGACACAGTCCTATGTAATGAGAAATAGTGTAATAAACATTCACAGTTAAGACAACTTTATATATATATATATATATATATATATATATATATATATATATATATATATATATGTGTGTGTATATAATGTATGTATACATGTATATTTTGTAGAAACTGGCAGTAATGTATTCCAACTGATGGACATACTTATTCCCACACATTCCCACATACAGTAATTTTAGTGCTATTTTTGTAACTGCACTATTTGTGTAGGTTAATTCAATGAAAAACTCACTGTGTTGACTTTAGCTTTGTTAATTTGGAATTATGGTCCTTTAATTTGGAATGCAGTGTTAGTTATGTTACCTCACAGCATGTAGGTTGCAGGTTTGACTCCTGACTGAAACCTTCTGTGGGGAACGTACATGGTTTGACCATGAAGTTTCCTCCCACAGACACAAAGCATGAAGTGAACTGGGGACTCTACAATGATCCGAGTTTCTGGTTTGTTGTCCTGGGGAGCTGCTGCCTCTGTCCAGCAGTCACTTAAAATTTAGGAAACCTCGTGGACATGTGTACAATCCATGACAGGGACACACGTGTATAAACAAGGAGGAACCTTAACACTCACCCCTAAGGGCAATTTAGAACTACCATTTAATCTTAATTGTAGTTCTTTGGACAGTCAGAAGAAAATAAATCCATTGCATCCACAGGTAAAACATTCAGACTTCACACAGAACGGGCCCTTCTGAGAACAACAGTGCTTCAAAACTAGATGCAGTATATTTGTCTGCAACTGCTGGTAATTAGTTAGCAAACAACATTCATACGGAAGTCTCCCAAATGTTTTTTGTAGAGGCCATTATTTCATGAGTTACAAACATGTATAAAAAAGTTTTGCAATAAATTTAGACCCAAAATGTATAGAGTTGACATGCACTGTTGTCTTGTGCTGGCCCAGGATGGGAGACTGTGACAAAATGAAGATTCAATAGAATCTACTGGCTACCCTGAATAAATAATGTTACTAACTGAATTGTTATGCATGTGAATGTATTTGTTCAGTTCCTTGAGATAATTTCTGTTGTGACTTAGTGCTTTATAAATCAACTGAATTGAACTGAATTGAAAACACACTCCAGTGAAACAGAAAATGTCTATTTTCCTGCAATTTTCTCACAATTTGAGTTGGGGACTAATCTTCAATGGTTGTATCCCAGTGAGACACAACTACACCGTGCTGCCCTGGGATCTAACATAGTTTGGTAAGATTATTAAAAGAAAGGAGTTCAATTCAGTGTCTAAGCAATGCAGAGAACAAAAGAGTTACAAAGGTGTGCTGGTACAGAATTTAACCATCCAGGACATGTAAATCCCCCAAATTTAAGAAAATTTAAAATAAAAAACTGGACTTTTTCCTGTTGTCGGATGGGAAGAAAAACCTTTTCAGTCACAGAATAGGTCATTTTTTAAATTATTTTTTGCCGTTAAATGATGGGCAGCATGGTGGATCAGTTCAGCGAGATGGTCGCTGGATCAAATCTTTGATCTCTTTTGACCTTTCTGGGTGGAGTTTGCATAATCTCTCCATGTATGAGTGGGTTTTCTATGTAGACTCCGATTCCCTCCCACTGACCCAAAACATACATGTCAGGGTGATTGATAACTCTACAATTCTCCATAGGTGTGAGTGAGAGAGAGTGGATTGTTGTTTGTCCCTATGTGTCCCTGTAATGGACCTGTCCAGGGTGTCCCCTGCCTCTCACACAGTGACTGCTGGATATGGTCACCTGTGACCCCTTTGACCCAAAAAGGAAGATGCAGGTACACAATAATGTATGAATGGATGTTAAATATTATAACTTTAGGAACCCTTTCACTTTCAGTACTGTTAACCTCTAAAAGCAAAAGCTTTTCTGTCCTGCTGAACACGGTTTGAACAAAGAAACAATCGTTATCTGATGAAAAATGTATTATTTTCTAAGAGAACCTAAACTGCTTTTTAGTAATTCCAAGAAAAACTGTTCAAAACTCGGTGGGACGAAAAGCAAGACGAACGTTAAGGACAGTGCTTAAATGTCAAATGACGGCCTCAGGGATGGAAGCTGATGAATGAAAAATAAAAAAAACAATTTACCCCTGTTGCTTCAATAGGCAAATTGTGACAATGATTTGGGGGGGGGGGGGGGGGGGGGGGGGGACATATTGACAAGAATAATATACTATCGATGACTGAAAAGAAACCAATGTAGTGAGTTTATAAAATGTCCCTCCAATATGAAAATCTTAATATTTTTTCATTTTAAAATGTTCAATAAGTTATTTTGGAATCAAGCATTAAATGGTCAATGCTTGGACCAGTACTCTTTACTTTGTATATGCTTCCATTAGGTAAAGTTATTAAACAGCATGGGATAAATTTTCATTGTATGCTGATGATACACAGTTATATTTGTCCATGAAACCCAATGAATCCAATCAGCTACTTAGACTACAAGCATGTCTTAAAGACATAAAAACCTGGATGACCCTTAATTTTCTCTTTTTGGACACAGACAAAACTGAGGTTTTGGTTTTTGGACCTGAGCATCTCAGGGATATTTTTTTGTCTTTTACCCTCCTTAGATGGCATTAATCTGACCTCCAGTTCTAATGTTAAAAATCTTGGTGTTAATTTTGACTAGGACGTGTCTTTTATCCCCTACATTAAAATTGTTACTGGAACCGCCTTCTTCCACCTGCGTAATATCTCTGAAATTAGAAACATCTTCTCTAAAAATGATGCAGAAAAACTGGTTCATGCATTTGTCACATCTAGACTGGACTATTGCAATGGTTTATCTGGGTGTCCAAATACTTCTTTAAAAAGTCTTCAGTAAATTTAAAATGCTGCTGCCAGAGTCTTAACTGGAGTTAGTAGGAGAGATCATTTCTCTCCAGTTTTAGCTTCTCTCCTTTGGCTCCCTGTCAAGTCCAGAATTGAATTCAAAATCTTACTTTTAACCTACAAAGCTCTCCAGCTTATATTAGAGATCTTATTTATCCATATTTTCCTAACAGAGCACTTTGCTCTCAGGCTGCAGGTTTACTCGCGGTTCCTAGAGTTTCCAAAAACAGAATGGGAGACAGAGCTTTCAGTTATCAGGCTCCTCTCTTGTGGAACCAACTTCCAGTTTCTGTCCATGAGGCTGACACATTGTCTAGTTTTAAAACTAGGCTCAAGACTTTCCTTTTTGATAAATTCTATAGTTAGGATCGGTATGGGTTTACTGAATTGTCCCTTAGTTATGCTGCTATGGGCTTAGACTGCTGGAGGACAAACTGAACACAGTTTTTCACTCTGCTACTGTCTCTACTTACTCTGCTCAACCTGTTTTGTATTTGTAATTATTTTTTTCTATCCTTGATGTGTTTTTTGTATTTCAGGTACACCTGCACCTACATCTGGACCTGCCATTCTGTGTTCGTCTGTCTCTCCTTCCTGTCCTCCAAGCCCAGCCGGTCAAAGCAGATGGCCACCTGTCCTGAGCCTGGTTCTGCTGGAGGTTTCTTCCTTTTAAAAGGGAGTTTTTCCTTTCCACTGTTGCCACTGTGCTTGCTCAGGATGGGAGACTGCAGTGAAGTGAAGATTCACTGACCCTGCTGGATTCCTTAGATACAGAACTTTACTAATTGTTTTTTCTATGTATGTGAAGGTTTCTGTAAAGTGCCCTGACACAACTTTGTTGTGATATGGCGCTATATAAATAAAGTGAATTGAATTTAATTGAATTGCCAAAACAATCACCATATTTTAAAGCTTTAAGGCTGCACAACAAATCACTTTATTTTAAGAATTAAAACTGTTTTCTGTCTTGGCTGAATGGGTTGGTAAAATGACAGAAGGTGAAGACTTGAACATTTAAAAACTGCGGAAGAAGGTTCAGAGAAAAGATAAACTGTGTTTCAGTGTGGACTGTAACCAACACAATAACAAAATAACTGACTACAGAAAAACAAGGTTATTTACTGATTTTTTTTTATCAGAGTATATTTACTTTAAAATGAGAAAATCCCATTATAATAACTGTAAATTGTATCTAATGTAATCATATTTGCAAATGCTCTATTGTTTTCAAATAGGATTTTAAATTGAACTATTTTATAATGCATTTTAATAAAGAAAGTTGGTAAAAAAAAAATATTCACGGTCACTAAAGTTGTATAGCATTATTTAATGTAAAAAATAATATTGTCTATTTCAAACCCTTATACTGAACATTGTTCTATATTGACATGGTTTTTTTTTCTTTAAGGTATTGGATCAGTTTGGTGGCTGATACGTTTCATGGTCGTATTGTTTTGCTTATCATTTTTTATGTTATTTCTACATTTTCTTGCAACAACGAGTCATGTTTGAGTCAAGTCGTCTCCAGCAGTTATTTAGTTTAAACAAAACAGATTATTGTCAACAGGATCTGCTGCATTGAAGGTTTTTTGATGTAAGTGCAACACTCGACTGTTTGAAGCTCAGTTAGCTGCTGTTCTGCTTTAGTGTGCAGTCTTACCACTTCTGGAGGCATCTTTGTAGCCAGATCATGAATGGCTTTTCCAAGAATGCACAGGGAGGAAAGAACAAACACAATCCCCAGGACGACACATGCTCTGCAGACACACACACAGTAAAGACAAAGGTCTGGATTTAGTTTCAAAAAGCCCAATTAATCACCTTGTGATGAATTAAGACAGAGCGGGTTTGCTTTACAGCCAAGTCATCCACAGATATTCAAAATTAAAGGTCAGAAATTACACGCTCAGTGATACAGCTGTGAGGCACAAAGTTACCCGCAATAAAAACTTTATGTCTGTGTTTCTCAGAAAATGGATGACTGTCTGGTTTATTCAGAACATCGTGCTTTGTGTAAAGGGGCTTCTAGGTCTTTCATTACCAGCGACACCTCTGAGCTGAAACAGGGAGTTCTTACTAGACAGACAGGCTTCCGTGCAACCAGACAGTTAATTAAGTCTACAAAGCTGCAGTCTGTCTGTAATATGCATTGACAAACATTTAGTTGGTCAATAAGAAGACACCAATAAAAAGACTCACTGGGCATGATTAAAATATTAATAGACCAGCAATTCTGTCAAATAAAACTATTGGTGTACAGGTCTACTCTCACGTTCGCCCCCTCCTGCACAAGTAGCTCTGCTTTCCCTGATTTTGTCCCTGATTGTTTCATGTTAGACAAGCCTCTACTCACATGTACTCTCTGTGCGCAGAGTGCACAGCTGCCGCGTTGCTGTAGCGCCATAAGACGATGGCGGACGACATGACGTCCAGCGTGGCGTCAAACTACAGCAGGAACAGAGATGGAGGTGCCAGGGAGAGAGAAAGGCAGCGAGAAAACAGTTAAATTAACATTTCTTATACTAAAACCTGTGAAATCACATGTAGTGAAAGCAGTAAAATTAAAATATACCTAAATAAATTAAAATTATTATACTTTGAAACCAGTTAAGGTGAACACATAACACATATGGTAGCAAGTAATAGTGTGAATGTTCGTGAAGCATTCACACTACTGTGATCCATTTTTGTTCCGTACATTTTTCAGCATCTTTCTCGTTCCGCACTTTTTGTGCTATTTCAACAAATCATACATCAAAGCGTTCAGCTCTTTCAGGAAAATCCTGTTATTGCTTTTGGTATTGGTGCAACTTTACCTTTTTGAAATATTTAAATGTTTGCCTTTTCTGCCATTTTTTCTCATAGAAAATTAATTCAGCTCTTTTTACATCTTTCAAATCTTTAGATCTGTTTACAAACTTTTACTGCTCCTTTCACATTTTGTTCTTGTTCAGCTTATTTCAGTTACCTTGTACACATTTTAAAAATCAGCTATTTCCAGCTGATTTTAGCTGTTTTATCAGCTATTTTGTGTCACTCTCAGCTTCTTTCTGCTAACTACAATATTTTTGTGCTTCTTCTAACTTCTTTCTTCTAATTTCAGCTTGTTGAGCTCATTTTAGCTCATTTCTGCAAGTTTCAACTTTTTCTGCTCTTTCAGCTTCTATATAACTGATTTTATGTTAATTTAAGCTTTTTTGGCCAATTCCACTTCTTTTGCATTATTTCAACATTTTTCAGCAAAAATGTTCTCTCTCCACTTTCTTCTTGTAATTTCAGCTTCTTTCAGAATTTTTAGTCATTTTTCAGCTGTGGTTTTTTTTTTTTAACAATTTCAGCTTTTTTCAGATCATTTCCACTTTTTGTGCTAATTTCTGCTTATTTCAGCAAACGTTCTTTTACTTTCTTCTGTTAATTTATAATTTAATTGTGTTCCAAATTTTCAGCTTTTTTTAGCTTTTTTTTTTTTAGTTCAAGTGTTTTTATATAAATTCAAGTTGTTCGTGGTAATTTCAGCTACTTTTCAAATTTTCTTTCTACTAATTTCAGCTTGTTATGCTTCTTTCAGCATTCTTCTGCTAGTTTAAGCTTTTTTCTGCTATTTCAGCTACTATTAAGCTGTTTGTGCTAAATTTAGTTTTTTTAGCTGATTCCATTTTTTGTTAGCTCATTTCAGCTCCTACCACTTACTTCAGGTAGTTTAAGCTTCTTTCTGCCTTGTCAGCTACTTTTCAGCTATTTTTTGTTGCTAAATTCAGCCCTTTATTTAAGCTAACATCCTCATTTTTGTACTTATTTCTGCTTATTTAAACCTAACTCAGCAAATATGTTCTTTCTGCTTTCTTCTGCTAACTTAGGTTTGTTCTTCCATTTCAGCTACATTTCATCATGTTTTTATCTAATTTCAGCTATTTTTCGGCAAGTCTTTCAGTCCAAGTCCAATGGGATTAACCTGTATAAATAAAGGTTGAATGAATAAGCATTCACACGGCAGTTTTGCAGGAAATGCAACTTCTCTAGTTTTGTTTTGTCATTTTTTAAAGAAAGTACCAAATTACATAGCCTGCTATAGAAATAATTTTAACTTGATAACACAATATATATTTCTATGATTTGGTAATGCACCATTAATTAGAATTATCATTTTAATTTTTATGTTTATAAATAAAGACATCATCAATACTGCTGGAAAACATTGTTAAAACATGAAGCTGGGACTTTGTGGTTTATTCTGGAGTAATTAATTTACCAAGGATATCAAAGAAAATCAAGTTTCTAAAGTGGAATAATAAAATGCGCAATAATCAGCATCATTTCAGTTTTTAATGATTAAAAGTATAATGCTAACTTTAATCATTGTGGTAGGAACATCAACAGATAAGCAGATGTTTTGCATATTTCCCACTTATTAAACCACAAAGCACTTAATTAAAATCCAGTCAGTGGTAAAAAGGTACCAACAGCAGATCAAAAATTCTCATCGCTTTATTCTGATCTCATTTCCAGTCAATAGCCCAAGGCAGGAATTTATTCATTTTAACGTCACTGTTATTAAGCTTTACCCTTTTCTCTACTAATAACGGGCTCAATCATCTTTTTACATTAAATAATAATAAAAAGCTTTTGTCCTGTTAGAGCCAGAAGTCTTGTTTTGGAGACACAATAAGCTTTTTGACATTCAACTTCAGCTCCTTGCCGAGTCTTCTCCCCTCTGTTACCGTGGCAACAAAGGGACCAATAACACTTTGGCGCTGGGATTCATTAATAAATCAGACCTCTGTAGTAACTAATTGATCAAGGCAAAAGGAGGAAAGAGGGGAGCCGGGACTTACTGCAAATCCAAAAGCTGACGCGCTGTGTCTCATGAAGGAAACGGCTGCGGAGACAGAAAACAGTCCATTAGTGGATTATGTCATTTGAATGTTTTCACTCTTTTATTGACAGAACAGTCTCATAAACACAAATCGTTGCACATAATACACCTTAGCACAAACACTATTGGAAAACAATTAGGTTTGTTCTGTTATCTGTTTCAACTTTGTTGTTATTGACAAAAAATACAAAACATAGTTTTCTAAAATATAAGGCGTTTAAAAATACCAGCTTGTGATTCTACTAAAATTACATTTATTTAGATTTTTATTTGTTGAAACAAGCATAGTGAACAAATCAGAAAATTGAGCAACATCTAAAAGCATCAGCCATGCACGGTAGTAGAAGGTTCATGGTTTGGGTTTGCTTTGCAGCTTACAGGTCAGCTCTGAATTCTTCTGCTATTTAAGGGGCTCGTTGGCCAACAGCTAAAGTGAAAATTTCTCAATAAACAAGACTGTGAGCGCAAGAACAGCAGCAAAACTTCAACGAAATTCATGATTTTTTAATTTATTATTATTTATTTTAGCTTGTTTAGCTCATGCCTCAATTAAACACTGCAGTGAGACTTTTTAATTGATTTCCCCAAAATTTAAAAAAAATTAAACCAATTTTTACATGAGTTGAACAAAAATTCCCAACACTAGCGTGACATATTTTCAGTCATACAAGAAATATTTTGAGTTTGTGCTGAAAGTGGTTCTTCACGCTGCTCATTTATTATGCTGCAAGCTCTGCTGCATTTTCAATACTTTTAGGTAAAATACCTAAAAAAAAAAGAAACGTAATAACTTTGTGTTTATCTAAAGTTTTATTTTCTTTTAAAACCTAGCTAGGAAAATATAATTCTATTTTATAATATATTAAAAAAAAAAAAATAACTATAGCGGTTATCCTGATTTTAATCCGAACTCTGAAAAATCTCCCGCATGAGATTTTGTCAACCAAAGGAAGAAGCGGGTAAAGAGAATGGATGGGTTGATGAAAATTATGTAATAATCAAGGAACTTTTCAAGTGTTTCTTTTTTTTAAATAAATTAAATTCATTTTGAATCCTCCAAACGTACTTTTTTTTTTTTGAATACAAGACAAAAAGCTCTGAATGACAACATCTATTGAAAATCACTGAACAGTCATGTGCCAAGCTAAACTGCAGTCCATGTTGAGTTATTAAATATTTAGGAGGGGATCTTTTTTAATTTGGAATCATATACACTTTTATAAAATTGACATAAAAACTACTTTGAGTTTAACTACATAGAGTGTTGTACATTATTTGCAGTGCAAGTACCTGTATTTATTTATTTTTTTATCCTGTCTGTCCTTGTGTATAGAGCTCTCTGTCTCAGTACTTTCAGGTCTCATGGGACGCCACACTGGCTGTTTAATCGCCATGGCAACAGGAGATTTGAGGCCAAGATGGGACTTGGTTTGAACTCAAAGCTTTAATCTTCTCTTCCTTTCAGCTGAGCTTTGTTTTTACTCAGCCCTTCACACATCCTTTGACGAACACCACTTCTCATATATATTTTTTTTTTAATTCAGTCGTTCGAGGATCGCCATGCCGCGTTTTATTTATTCTGCTTGGACCCCCAATGCTCTGCAGAGCAGAAGGGCCGAAAACTTGAACTAAACTCCAACAGAGGAGTGGAACGGTAAGAAGAAAAATCATTTCTAAACAAGAGAGGAACGGGAACTAATGTTTAAAAATCAGGAGTACAGAGCGGAGACGGCGATCCCACACAGACTCGTGCATCAGTCATGCTTAGTAGAAACGCATGACTTCCCACAATCTGCTCATTTCCTTTCACCCTGTTTCTCCAGCGTTTTCTTAGTCACACTTCCACCTCTGAGTCTGCTCTTTCTTGTTGTTTTGCAGACAGAAGCGTTATGAATCTCAGCTTTTATCAGACCTCTGACCCGCATGTGAAGTGTCTAGAAATGGAGACAAACTGAGAATGCACCAGTTTCCACAGTGAATGCAAGAAAAAATGCTTCTTTGACGAGTTGTGCTTCATGTGTAGACACAATACTGGTTTGATTCATTCAGCTTTGAGCCTTTTTTTTTGTTCTGATGCATGCTCAATAATCCACATCGATAAATCGGTTGAGTCAGTTCTTCTGGATGGGTTCTTCTTTAGTGAAGTGCTTCGTCTTTTCTCCAAGTCTTGTTCAGTCTTTTGGATTAAAAGACAAGATGGTTCAGCAAAGAAGAACCCATCAAAAAGAACGGTTAGATCTTTTCTTATGCTTAAATGATTCATAAATAAATAAATAAATGTCAAGAGGATATAAAACCACCTCCAAGAGGTCTGGAAAACTCAAGATCCGTTCTAAACATTTATTTATCAAAATCTGTCTAATTTTAGCAAAACATTATGAAATAAGGCTTTTGCACAGTGTTTTTAAAGGCAAATTAACCAGTAATATGTCAAAATAGAAAAATAAAAAAGCTTTATTGATGTAAGGACACATTACTCATCAATATGAGAAGTTGTTTCTTATTTTATAATTTCTTTTTGATTGGTTTTCATGACGTTGCAACGAGCACCTTTAAAAAAAAAGGTACACATCTGCCGAGCGGCATTTAAAGATTTGCTCTAAACAATGTTTATGTTGATCTTGTTGTTTCACTATATTTACATCCAGAGTTGATTGATAACCAGATGGATTATTGGCTGTTGCATGTAAAAGCTTTCGTTTATTAATATTTACATGCCAAGGCAGCTTGTGGTTCACGAATGCACTCAACCCTAACACCAAGCATCATGTGTTTAACTCAGATGTGCAGTTTGTTATTCTGAATGTGCAGTCCCACATCTACAAAACACACACACACACACTAAATGATGCCTCAGAGGAAAGAAGCTATCCTTTCACTTTCAAGGTTTCCTCTGAGAACATTTAAGTGTCAAATTTACTTTCAGTAACTTCCAATTTTCATGTATCAGTGGAAATCATACCATCTTGTGCAAAACGTTTTATAGCTCTGTCAATAATGTTCTCATTATGCTTGTGATAATCCGTATGTAATCACAAAGTCTCAGCATTATAAAGAAATTAGATGTGGGTTTTAGTCAAGAGTATTTGTGCCATAAAGTAAAATATTTATAGAAAACCATAATATTCTTGTCAATCTGAGTAAATGGTTTACAAGAAAGCCAGAATAAAGTCATTGCAAATGCATTGGCAGTGAATGAATGAAATCAGTGAATTAAAGTAATGTTTGTTCATCAGTACAAAAAGATTGGACCCATTTTTTAAAGCTACTGATGTACAAATTGTGGGTGTCAGTGTCCTTGCAGTTATTCATTTTTCAGTTTCTGCACTTGAGCTCATTTCGATGTGCCAGCCGTCTCTGTGGTTACCGCTTGCCAGCAAATCGATGCCTCTCCAGAGGCGAGCAGACACTATTCCGTGTACTGTCCTCCGGGTTGTTGGTTAATCAGAGTGGCAAGCATGCATGACCAGATACTAACAAGACAGAGAAACCAGAGGAGGAGTTGTTTGAAATGGAGGAAGAGGTAAAATCAGGGTCCACCAGTAGGAGACTAACAAGAAGAAATAGGGAGCTACTAAAATAGTGTTGGAGTGAAAAGAGAGTGTTGAAAATAGAGTGAGAGGAAAACGATGCTGACTACGAAGACAGGAGAAAAAATGTAAATGGTGACTGTGAAAAGACTGAAAATGTAAATGATGAAGTGGCATCCAGTTTGGTGGTCTCAGGATTCTGTCTCTGCTATTTGCAGATGACGTGATCCTGTTGGCGTCATCATGCAGTGATCTTCAGCTCTTACTGGAACGCTTCACAACCGAGTGTGAAGCTACTGGGGTGAAGAAGAGCACCTCCAGTTCTGAGGCCAAGGTGCTAAAAGGGTGGACTGCCCATGTCGAGTTGAGGTGCTGCCTCAAGTGGAGAAGTTGAGGTATTTTGGCATTTTGCTCATGAGTGTAGGAAGAACGCGGATCAACAGATGGATGGGTGCAGCTTCTGCAGTTTTGTGAACTCTGTGCCAGTCGGTTGGGGTGAAGAGAGAGCTAACTTCTGTGTTCACAAATCACTCTGCGTTCCTACGCTCACCTGTGGACACAAACTGTTAGTGACACAAAGAATGAGATTGCAGATAGAGTTTGCTCAAGTTGTTGCCCCCACAACCCCAACAAGCAGCAAATAATGAATGGATGAAAGGACAGATGTAAAAGCTGGAAAAGAACTGATAAATCCAGGAATAAAACTGTAATATCCAGTGATTTTAGTGCGTTCTGTCTATTTTCTGTTCTGCTGCCTTATAAATACTACAACAATTACAACTTGGCACCAATAAAACCCTAATTATTATTGAGTTACTAGGCGAAAGACTGAAAACACAGCCAGCCCCAAACACCAACACTCTCTCTTCCTGATGTTACCTTGTCCAAAGACTTAATTTGAAACTGCTATGGGTTTTGAAAACCACAGAGCAGGACAACATTCAGATTGCAACACTTTAGTGAATAAAACAAAAGCAAATTTTCAAAAGCCAAATCAATTCCCACAATGATCACACTTTTCTATTGCCAAGTAAAAAGTGGATGATAGAGCTTTTTGGTGTTGTGAGAGGGTGGTATAGGTTTAATTTTTGTTGCAATACAGTACAAGTGCCACAGTTAAAAACAAACACTGATCAGGAGAAAATGACAAAAGTTCTTTACGGTAAGTTCTAGTTCAATATCTGTGGCGTTGTTATCTGTTTGTTAGGAGACCGATAGTCAGGGTCATAAAAGCAGTAGGTCCATGAAAGAAGACCGGATCTCACTTTCCCCAAGGACTCTAACCAGCTCCTCATTGTATGTCCAAGACTGTTCTCAGATCAGTAGGACATATAGTCTCTCCAGTGAGTGCTGGGTCTGCTCCAAGATCTCCTCTGAGTGGGATATGTCTAGAAAAACTCCAGAGGGATTTTTTTTTTTTATCGGATGCTTGAATCACCTTAGCAGACTCATTTTGATGCAAAGGAACAGTGG